TCATGTGCTTATACATCACCTGTGGTGAGGTTCAGCTACAACAGCAGATTTGAGTAGGTCCAACAGAGACCATTGGCCTCTAAAGGCAAAAAGTGCTTATTACCTGGCTCTTTCACTGATGTTTACCAAGCCTTGAGTTTAACTGTCCCTTCTCTTGACCTAGCTCCGAGTTAGAGTTTGGGGCTTTCTGGCATAGAGCAATCTGTGCACATGGACATTGATTTAGAATTTTAAAAAATTTTTAATTTATTTATTCATGAGAAATGCAGAGAGAGAGGCAGAGACATAGGCAGAGGGAGAAGCAGTTTCCAGGCAGGGAACCTGATGCAGGACTCGATCCTGGGACTCTGGGATCATGCCCTGAGCCAAAGGCAGATGCTTAACCACTAAGCCACCCAGGTGTCCCCTAGAATTTTTATTGATATTATTGATATGTAATGTTCATTTATTATTGTCATCAATTCCACTTTTTCTTCTACATTACAGAAGAAATTAAAGAAAACTGCACAGAATTAGTAGCCAATACAATGTGAATACTCAATAGAGTTAGTAATTCTTTTTTTTTTTTTGATAAGGATATTGTTGATAGCATAAGAGTTGTTTTGGTCAAATCATGGCAGATATCAAATTACGATCCATGGAGGAAACTGAAAGGGGAGTCCCCATTGTTCAACTTTCTTTTCCATGACAAACTCGCCATGAGGCCCCTCGGCATCTGAGGGCAAAAGGGCTAAGTAGACAGGGGTCTCTGCTCCTTCTTCTGGGCTTTTGATGCCTTTTGGTCCACCCATGTCTGTTCTCAGCCACCCAGGGCAGCAGGCATTCAGGAAGATCTTGTCACCTCTTCTCTGCTCACTCAGTTTCCTGGCATGGATTCTGGACAGAATGGTGATACCCATCTTTGATATTCCATAGGTGACTAGTTTCGTATCAGGCCAGCCCTCCTTCTTGTGCACTCCATTCTTTACGTCTTCCACAAACTTGTCCATGAGCATCCCCAGCTCCTCCTCTGTGATGGCCTCACTTGTAAACTTCTGTTGCAGTTCTGGGCTGCACTGTTTAAGGGTTACGAAGCCCATTACGCTAGACACATTCACCACTCTGCCTAAAATACAACACAAAGAGTCACAAAGAATGGCATGCATGAGAATGATGAATACCAATATTGCTAGTATTTTGTCCATTTGGGAGACAATTTCTCGTTTGCTCTGAGGGTTAATGAAGACTGCCTCTGCGACTCAAGGACATGCTGCAGTCTTGAACCTTGTTTTACCCATAATGTCTCAGATGATGTGACAGAAATGATCTAAAGGGACTGAGTAGTGCCCAGATGTTCCACAAAGAAGAGAGAGTGCCCTATAGAGGAACATGGCAAGTACAGTGTAAGAAGGCACTCCCTGCCGTCACGGGTAGAGAGCCAGTTTTCCTCATAGGTCCCCTCTGGGACTGCCTGGAGACCTTCTTATAGTCACCTGAGCAGTGCTCTATGAACAAGTGTTTAGTAGCTCACAATCAGCTTCTGAGTTTAAAGATGGCCTTTTGAAGGTGAACAGACTACATTGGGGTAAGTCGATTTTTACTCTGCTGTGGCCAGCTAAAAGCAACTCACCTCAGTGGGCTGAATTGCATGATGTTTTCTCTGGGTTTGGGATATCATCTTCTCAGGAGCAGTGACAAAATGCCTGGCTGTATGGTCATGGAAAGGGGCAGTGGGAAACTGTCATGTTATAAAGAGATGCTCTAAAAAGAAATGAAGTCCATGCTGTACCATGGATGAACCTTGATAACATCATTGAAACAAAGAAGCCAGTCACAAGAGACCACTCATTATATGGCTCTCCATATATGGGATGTCCAGGGGAAAAAAAAAAAGTAGGGACAGAAAGTAGATTGGTGGTTGCTTGGGGGAGGGGGGCGTGGGGAACAGAGGGCTTATAGATAAGGGTACAGGAACTGTTGGGGTGATGACAATGTGCTAATCTTGACTCAGTGATGGTTCTACAACACTGCCCAATTGCTAAAATCTACTGAGTTGGATTCCTGAAAAGGGTGAAGTGTATGATAGGTGAATTGTATCTCAATAAAGCTGTTAGAAGTGTAAAGCACTGACGCTTTTCTCACTAACTCTTTTTTGAAAGTATAGTTAGTATTTATAAGAATGAACTTACATTGACATGTATAAGTCATTAGTCTCATATTTTTACATTTATTTATTTAAAATTTTATTTATTTTAGGAAGAATGAGAGTGCATGAGCTGGCGTTAGCAAGTGGGAGAAGGGCAGAGGGAGAGGAATAGAGAGAATCCCAAGTAGACTCCCCTCAGATTGCAGAGCCTGACTCAGGGCTCCATCACATAACCCTGAGATCGTGACCTGAGTCAGGTGATACCAAGGATCAGTAGCTTAAAGGACTGAGCCACCCAGGCACACCTATTTTGATATTTAATTGAGTCTTTTCAGCATTATAGAAAGGTCATGAGATCATACCTACAGTCGGAGCTAAGAAAATTAGGAAACTTTCCTTTTTTTAATGTAAATAAAATATCCAGGAATGAAAGTCATTGCCACTTAAATATGAGTTTCCTCCCACTAAGGAATGGCAGTGCCAAAAAAGTTCAGTGGAAGAGATGATACATGGATGGCACTCTGACTCTTATAACGTGGTGTTGAGAGAAAATTAAAACAAATTGTAGAAACTATGTTCTTAATGTATCCGTTTTCTAAGAGGAACACCTTTAAGGAAGGGGTCTTTTACTCCAGTACTTTATTTCATCAATAACATGTTAAGTGTAACGTTAATGGGACCTATTTGTCAAATGTTTTAGTGAGTACTGCTGAAAACTAGACAATACTTACGGAAGAAATTAAAGAAGACAGAAAGAAATGGAAAAACTTTCATGCTCAGGTTTGGAAGAACATATATTGTTAAAATGTCTGCACTACCCAAGGAATCGACGTATTCAATGATTTCCCTATCAAAATAATACCAGCTTTTTCATAGAGCTAGAAGAAACAATTCTAATATTTGTATAGAACCAGAGAAGAGAATGGTCTGGTTTCATCCTTCTGCATGTGGCTGTCCGAATTTCCCAGCACCATTTATTGAAGAGACTGTCCTGTTCCCAGTGGATAGTCTTCCCTGCTTTGTCGGATTTAGTTGACCATAGAGTTGAGGGCCCACTTCTGGGTTCTCTATTCTGTTGCATTGATCTATGTGCCTGTTTTCGTGCCAGTACCACACTGTCTTGATGATCACAGCTTTGTAGTACAGCTTGAAATCCGGCATTGTGATGCCCCTGCCTCTGGTTTTCTTTTTCAATATTGCCCTGGCTATTCGGGGTCATTTCTGATTCCACACAAGTCTTAAGATGATTTGTTCCAAATCTCTGAAGAAATTCGATGGTATTTTGATAGGGATTGCATTAAACGTGTAAATTGCCCTGGGTAACATTGACATTTTCACAATATTAATTCTTCCAATCCATGAGGATAGAATATTTTTCCATCTCTATGTATCTTCCTCAATTTCCTTCAAGGGTGTTCTTAGTTTTTAGGGTATAGATCCTTTGCCTCTTTGGTTAGGTTTATTCCTAGGTATCTTATGGTTTTGGGTGCAATTGTAAATGGGATTGACTCCTTAATTTCTCTTTCTTCAGTCTAATTGTTAGTGTATAGAAATGCCACTGATTTCTGGGCATTGATTTTGTATCCTGCCACATTGCTGTATTGCTGTATGAGTTCAGAGATCTTAGGGTGGAGTCTTTTGGGTTTTCTATGTACAATATCATGTCGTCTGAGAAGAGGGAGAGTTTGACTTCTTTGCCAATTTGAATGCCTTTTATTTCTTTTTGTTGCCTGATTGCTGAGGCTAGGACTTCTAGTACTATGTTGAATAGCAGTGGTGAGAGTGGACATCCCTGTCGTGTTCCTGATCTTAGGGGAAAGGCTCCCAGTGCTTCCCCATTGAGAATGATATTTGCTGTGGGCTTTTCATAGATAGCTTTTAAGATGCTGAGGAATGTTCCCTCTATCCCTACACTCTGAAGAGTTTTGATCAGGAATGGATGCCGTATTTTGTCAAATGCTTTCTCTATATCTATGGAGAGGGTCATATGGTCTTGCTTTTTATCTTGTTGATATGATCTATCATGTTGATTGTTTTACAAGTGTTGAACCAGCCTTGCATCCTGGGGATAAATCCCACTTTGGTCATGGTGAATAATCTTCTTAATGTATTGTTGGATCCTATTGGCTAGTGTCTTGTTGAGAATTTTTGCATCTGTGCTCATCAGGGATATTGGTCTATAATTGGTGAATTATAGAAACCAGATCTTTGGAATTAAGGTGATGCTGGCCTCATAAAACGAGTTTGGAAGTATTCTGTCCCTTTCTATCTTTCGGAACAGCTTTAGTAGAATAGGTAGTGTTTCTTCTTTAAACATTTGATAGAATTCCCCTGGGAAGTCACCTGGCCCTGGACTTTTGTGTCTTGGGAGGTTTTTGATGACTGCTGCAATTTCCTCCCTAGGTATTGGCCTGTTCAGGTTTTCTATTTCTTCCTGTTCTAGTTTTGGTAGTTTGTGGTTTTCCAGAAGTGCGTCCATTTTTCCTAGATTGCCTAATTTATTGACGTATAGCTGCTCATAATATGTTTTTTTAAAAGATTTTATTTATTTATTCATGAGAGCACACACACACACACACACACACACACAGAGAGAGAGAGAGAGGCAGAGACACAGGCAGAGGGAGACGCAGGCTCCAGGCACGAAGCCCGATGTGGGACTCAATCCCGGGTCTCCAGGATCACGCCCTGAGCTGAAGGCGGTGCTAAACCGCTGAGCCACCTGGGTTGCCCTCATAATATGTTTTTTAAATTGTTATTTCCTTGGTATTGGTTATAATCTCTCCCTTTTCATTTGTGATTTTATTAATTTGAGTCTTTTTTCGTTTTAATAAGGCTGGCTAATGGTTTATCTATCTTATTAATTCTTTCAAAGAACCAACATGCAGAAGAATGAAACTAGACCATTGTCTTACACCATACACAAAGATAAACTCAAAATGGATGAAAGATCTAAATGTGAGACAAGAATCCATCAAAATCAGAGGAGAACCCAGGGAACACCCTTTTTGAACTTGACCACAGCAACTTCTTGCAAGATACATCTATGAAGGCAAGGGAAACAAAAGCAAAGACGAACTATTGGGACTTAATCAAGATAAAAAGCTTCTGCACAGCAAAAGAAAGAGTCAGCAAAACTAAAAGACAACCTACAGAATGGGAGAAGATATTTGCAAATGACTTATCAGATAAAGGGCTAGTATCCAAGATCTATAAAGAACTTATTAAACTCAACAGCAAAGAAACAAACAGTCCAATCATGAAATGGGCAAAAGACATGAACAGAAATTTCACCAAAGAAGACATAGTCTGAGCAATTGCACTACTGGGGATTTACCCCAAAGATACAGATGCAGTGAAATGGCAGGGCACCTGCACTCCAATGTTTATAGCAGCAATGTCCACAATAGCAAAACTGTGGAGGGATCCTTGGTGTCCATCGAAAGATGAATGGATAAAGATGTGGAAAATATATATAATGGAATATTAGCCAATAGAATGGCAAATACCCACCATTGCTTCAATGTGGATAGAATTGGAGGGTATTATGCTGAGTCAAGTAAGTCAATTGGAGAAGGACAATCATTGTATGGTTTCACTCATATGGGGAATATAAAAAATAGTGAAAGGGATTATAGTAGAAAGGAGAGAAAATGAGTGGGAAAAATTAGAGAGGGTGACAAACCATGAGAGACTCCTAACTCTGGGAAATAACTTAGGGGAACGGCAGGTGGGTGAAGGGATGGGGTAACTGGGTGATGGGTACTGAAGGGGGCATTTGGAGGGATGAGCACTTGTTGTTATGCTGTATGTTGGCAAATTGAACTCCAATAAAAGAAATACATACATAGACACACAAAAGAACCAGAAAAGACACGAATGGCCAAAGTGATGCTGAAAAAGAAAATCAGAGCAGGAGATATCACCATTCTGGACTTCAAGCTATATTGTAAAGCTGCAGTCATCAAGCAGTATGACACTGGCATAAAACCGGACACATAGATCAATGGAATAGAATACAGAACCCAGAAATGGACCCACAAGTGTATCTTGTGGACCCACAACTAATCTTCAACAAAGCAGGAAAGAATATCCAATGGAAATAAGGGAGTTTCTTCAACAAATGGTGTTGGAAATCTGGACAGCCACATGCAGAAGAATGAAACTGGACCACTTTCCTACACCATACACAAAAATAAAGTAAAACGGATGAAAGACCTAAATTTGAGATAGGAAATCCTCCCAATCCTAGAGAAGAAAGTTGGCAGCAACCTTTTTAGCCTGAGCCATAGCAACTTCTTACTAGATATATCTCCTGAGGCAGGGGAAACAAAAGCAAACATGAACTATTAGGACTTCATTAAGATAAAAAGCTTCTGCACATCAAAGGAAGTAATCAAAAAACTAAAAGACAATGACGGGGCAGGGAAAGATTATTTGCAAATGACATATCTGATAAAGGGTTAGTATCTAAAATCTAGAGAGACCTTATTAAACTCCACACCCAAAAAATACATATGTTCACACAAATGGGCAGAGATGTGAAAAGATGACTGTCCAGAGAAGATATCCAGATGACTAATAGATACACGAAAAGATGCTCAACATCACTCATCATCAGTGAAATATAAATCAAAACCACAGTGAGATACCATCTCATATATGTATGAAATTCTAAAATTAACCACTCATGAGACCACAGATGTTATCATTGATGGGGGAGGGGAGGGCAAACTCTTTGGCACTGCTGCTGGGAATGCAACTGGTGGACACTCTAGGAAACAGTATAGAGGTTCATTAAAATGTTAACAGTAGAGCTTCCTTATGACCCAGCAATTGCACTAATGGTATTTATCCAAAGGATATAAGCATAGTGATTCAAAGGGGTACATGTATCCCAATGCTTATAGTAGCACTATTAACAATAGCAAAATTATTGCTAAACAGCCCAACTGTCAATCAATTAATGAATGGATAAAGAGAATGGGACATATATACATATATAATGGAATATTACTCAGTTATCAAAAGGAATGGAAACCTGCCATTTGCAACAACATGGATGGAGCTAGCAAATAATAAATAAATAAATAAATAAATAAATAAATAAATAAATAAATGCATGTATTATGCTAAGCAAAATGAGTCAGCCAGAGAAATGCAAATATCATATGATTTCACTTATGTGGAATTTAAGACACATATAAACATAGGGGAAGGAAAGGAAAAATAAATTAAGATGAAAAGAGAGAGGGAGGCAAAGCATAAGAGACAATTGTAGAAACAAACTAAGGGTTGCTGGAGGGCAGGGAGATGGAAAGTGGGCCCAATGAGGGATGGGCATTGAGGAGGGCAATTGTTGGGATGAGCCCTGATTGTAATATGTAACTGATGAAACATGGAATCCTATTCCTGAAACCAATTCTACACTAACGTGAAATAAATTTTTAAAAAGTTTAGTGAGTACTTCTCAAATATATATTACTTACAACTAGTTGAATTTCCTTCAAGGGGTGTCTGGGTGGCTTAGTAAGTGAAGCTTCTGCCTTCAGCTCAGGTCATGATCCTGGACTCCTGGGCTCAAGCCCTGCATGGGGCTCACTGCTCAGCAGGGAGTCTACTCCTCTCTCTCCCTATGCCCTTCCCCCTGCTCTTGCTCCTGTTCTCACTAATTCTTTCTTTCTTTCTTTCTTTCTTTCTTTCTTTCTTTCTTTCTTTCTTTCCTTTCTTTCTTTCTTCTTCTTTCTTTTTCTCTTTAACTCTCTCTCAAATAGATAAAAGCCTCAAAAAATTTATTTAAAAAAATATTACCTGCCTTTTCCATAATAGAAATAATACATATTAGTGATTCAAAACTGCAAAACACAGAAGTGTGTGAAATAAAGGGCAGGACAAAGGGAAGACAAGGCCCGAGGAAGCCACACGGGGTAACTGGTGTACCAGAAAGGCAGCCATCTTTACTCACAGGGGCTCAGGACCATTTTCTTACATACCTGTAGCATTGACAGCAGAAGGAGAAACTCTACTAAATTTCCGTAGGCTGTTTGTAATGAAGTGATGACATCTTTTCTATTCTGTGTTGTCTGTCTCAGGGGGTCTAGGATTAGTTATGAAAATACTGATCTATGTAATGAAGGAAGTCTGACGGGCAGTAGAATGGTTTTGAAGGTAAATTGCTAGATGTGGGTGCCTCTGCTAGTCCCTCTTCCCCAGGCCTGTGCACTCACTGACCACATCCCAAAGGGGGCAGGGTGGCCACTTGGGGGCTCCTCGTAGGAACTGAGTGAGACTGTAGATCCTTGTAGTCTGACAGCTCAGGACAGGAAACACAGGTGCAGGAACTTGTGGAGCTTCCATAGCAAAGACTCTAATGTACACATTTTTGTCGTCAAGTGCATTCATAGCTTTCAAGGGTAATTTTAGAGACTCTAAACTGGAATACACACGGCAGGCATATGGGCTAGGAAGTGTATGGGCCATCCCAAAGTCCTTGTGCTAAGGGTGTGTGAGTGCATTTGAGTGTGTGAGATGTGGGTGAGTGTGTGAGACAGAGACTCTAAGTGAATGTGAGTGTGACTGCATGAGTGTGTGACACTGTGATGTAGTGTGTAAAACGGTTGCCCTTTCATAGTCATTGTGAAAAGCAGTCCCTCAAGTAAGAAAGGACTCTTGCACTGGTGGGGCTGCAGTGTGTGTCAGCTTACAGTTCATCCAGACCATTACTCTGCAAGTGGCAAGGGATATATTTTTAGGAAATCTCTGTCTCCAAATCTCAGTGTTCTTAAGCAGAGCCACAGTGAGGTGGATATTTTAGACATCCTCTCCTCTGGGGTCACCACTTCAAGTGCATTCCTTGATTCTCAAGCCTATTCAAGGGGTGCTAAGTCCACAGCCATTTCTCATGATTTTATGATTCAACATTCATCACTTTCTCTCAAAGATTCATATTTTCTCATATCAAGGTTAATAGTGTTAAGCATCTGGAGTGATAAGGGATTTTCACAGAACACTTCAGGGTTTTAAATGTGCCTCCAGTTGTTTTCCCTGAGTTGCCTGAGGCCCTGCAGTGAGGAAGACATTGGTCCCAATCAGCAGAGTCCTTTTTTTTTCTGTTTATCTTGCCTAATTGGGTAAGAAGAACAGAAAATTCACGTGGAGAGGTGCTCCAGTGGAAAATACTTGAGGTCCTGGAGTAGTGGGAAGGACCATTAGTTAGGATGCCACATGACCTCAGTCTGCAACCCAGCTGTGCTTGTGACCTTGAGATCTATTATTCTTCCATGTTCCGAATGCGGATAATATCTAAAATGCCTCGCATATCACATCTAGCCACCTATCCATTCTAGAACCACAAGATGTCAATATGTGTTTGTGAGCAAACTTTTCTACTGTACCTTCTCAAATGAAGATTGAGAACATCTTCTTTAAGGTTTCCTTGGTTAAGTGTAGCCATACAAGTCTGTATTTTCTCCTAGTACTTTAGCTAATATCTGATGAACAAGAGTTTTCAGATTTCAAATGTTTGCTCAATTCCTTACCCATGAGTATACTTTAATATCTTTTAAAATAAGTGCATAAATAATTTAAAATAAAAAACAACAGTTTATCATTTTATGGAGATTATCCTTCAAATAAGGGAATATGAATTTGGAGGAATGAGATAGAAAAGCCATGCAATGTGGGAAGGGATGTTCATGGCCTTGATACAGATTGCCTAGTTAAGGTTGGTGGTGGCCACCTGGTTGGGTAGATACTTATCTTTTTTGTGGCTAAATTATTTTAGTAGAACTCTTTGAAGAAAGGATTGAAAAATATGAAGAATCAACATTAACTATCTCTCAATGTCCTTAAGGTCACAATTCTCTTTTGTTTTGTCCTTCCGTGCCTAAAAACAGAGCCAATAGAGCAGACAAAGGCCTTTAGAATGTGTTCTGCACCCTCAGAGATCTTGTGATGTTGTTCAAGACTGTTCTTTGTATCCTAGTTTCTGAAGTATGGGAAAGGAGGAACAGTATTGCTTTTGGTTATCCTAGCTAGGATTTCTCCCAAACAGTATCCCCAGAGAAAGTCATGTCCTGGTCACAGGAAATACTGTGGCTGCCATCCCTCCAACTAAGAAAAGAACTCTCCTCTTGCAAAAGACAAGAAAACCCTCTTTCACAAGGAGAATATAGCTTGCCTGTCCATGTCCATGCAATCCAATTTCCCTGAGTCAAGATCAGTAGTTTGATTAGAACCTGCCTTAGCAAATCCAGGAGAGCGCTCACTCCTCATTCTGGTCCAAGGCCAACAGGCAGCAAAAACCAACACTGTTGAGGTAAGTGAGATCCGAACTCAGCCAGAAGTCATTTTATCTTCTAAGGGGAAAACCTTTAAGATGTATGGGGGTGGCACAAGGAACTCCATCCCACCCTCAAGTGTTGTGGTGAGTAAAGGAGTCAGTGACATCTGAGAGCTGCCCTGTGACATGACAGTGAAGCCGGTGTTGGGGGAAGTAGGAGAACTTTCCAGGACAGAAGAGGAATTGGGGGGCAGAATGGGGAGTCAAATGTACCTGCATGTAGTCTTTTTGAGGGAGACATAATCTTTCTAAAGTATCAGCTTATCTTAATTAGTGTAGTACATGGGTGGTGGTTCCCCCTTCAAGTTCACATGGGGTAAGGATTATAGTAGTTTACAACTAAGGAATGATGGTAGTCTGTTTTGTGCAGAGC